AGAGAAAAAGATGCTGATTATTGATTCAGAGCCCGCATAAACGTGAAGCCTAGAAATAAATTGGAATTTGGAGAAGTAGTTAAAAAAAAATGTCAGACCAGAAAAAAATCTTGGCTGCGCGAATGTTGTAATCACTAACTGCTCATCAGGTCTCCCAATCAAGTAAATTGAGAACTTCCTAAGAAAACTAAACATCCTTGTTGATAAAATATTAATCAGAAAAAAGATGCGTTCAGGGATTGTTATTCAATGTATTTTATTCAACCTAACTACTAAAACCAAATGCAACCCATATAACCAATGCAAAACTATTCGTACAACCAGATGAGGGATAATTATCGTAGTAACCGATACCAAACAAACAAGCTACATGCACAACATCATCTTGATCAGGCTATCAAAAGCCCAATCTCAACAAACAGTGAACAGAATAGAGATGCATTTAGAGAAAACCATTCAACATTTTTCAACCAGTAACTACAACAAGACTCAAAAAATTCCCACATTGCGAAGCGCTAGTGCGATCTGTTCAAAATTTGGGTTTCTGAGCTGATTTACAATCTTTGCTCAAACGAATCAAAGCTAAACTTCTGATTATTTGCTTCTGAAATGGACCAAATGCTTGATCCGTTAAAACATTCAAAGCAACAAAGTACAAATGTTAAGAAGAAGCTTAAAACACTCACAAGGTAAAGTGATAGAAAGGTTACAAGAGGAGTGCTTGTTTCTGGGAACATCTTCGGTCACAAGTAAAGGAATTAGAATTTGCAGCCAATTTTTTTTTCACACAAAACAAAACGCTAAATTGGGGTCCGACCACCATAACGACAAATATAATTCTAGAAAAAGCATCGATTGTTTGCAGGACTATTTTTGTTTTGTGGCTTATTGCCGCTGTTACCAAAAGTTGGCACCAGTTGAGAAAAGCATTTTAAAAAAGCATGAGCTTTCGATAAATCGCTGAAGTTCTGGTCATTGACGAAGCAATGGCGCTTCATAGAGACAAAATTAGCAATGAAAAGGTTTCCATCATAATTCTCTTCGTGATCCTTCATGATTTACAATTAAAACAGTGCTTAATTTGCAGCAATTGTAACAAGGAAAAACTGAGAGAACATGGATTTGCGACCGCTAACTCTAGCAGATACGTTCGCATAGGGTTCAAAGAAGCACTTAACATAACCATACACAAGCGGATGGTGAAAACCATCATCAATCTGATGGAGAAATTAACGCTTCAGAGAAAGCAACATTTGAACACTTGCCCTACAATCGGTTTGGAAAAGAACAACTGCTCTTCGATTAAAGATAAAGTGTTTGACATTTAAGCTCTCATTGGCCCCGGCAGCCAATTTTTTTTCATGCTTGACCAAATTGCGCTGATTTTAGAGATCTCATCATCAGAAACTGTAAACTTGACTACACGATACATGAATATTAACCATGAGATGCGAGTTGCGAAACTAGAGAACATCGGACTACATGGAATACAAACTCGATTGAGCTGGGCAATCGCAGGAGAATTTCACCAAACCATTGCTCCCACCCGAATAATCAAAGTGGGTAGCAGACAAACTTTGTGATTTTTATTCCACCTTATAATCTGTTTTGGAACCATTAGACTACTTGATTCAGCAATTCCGAATTATTGAAGAAACAGGACTGAAAAGAGCAGGAAAAAAAACATATACTAAAAAAAAACAGCGGAAGTTCGAATTCTTGAAAACACGATTAAACGTACGAGAGAAGGATGTGAATTTGTTTCAAATCCGAAATAAGAAACATGATTGCAAAATAAGTACTACAAACCCCTCAGCAGCTAAAAACACTCAATCGCCACTTACCAAAAGTCAATGATCTAACAAATTTAAACGAAACGTTCCTCGTAAATGACCTCAGAAAGCACCATGTGCGACCAGTAGAATTAAAACGAATAAAAAAACCTCTCAGATTTGGTATTTTATGCATCACCCTGTAAAAAACGCAAATATACGAACAAATTTAGAGGAGTAGCCAACGCCTTTTCTTGAAGCGCAAAATTTTTAAAGCGCAAACATTGAACAAAAACAGCCTGACAAGTCCAAATCTACTTGCAAATCAAACTGGGATTCTATTGCTTTTTGTCAAACATTGCATCGGTCTTCTTGTCGATACTAAGAAGATTTTTATGCAAAGGGGTGTTCTTAACAAGATAGACCAGCCCAGCGTTTTCTCTGGAACTATAACCGAAAAATCACTCATGACAAATATACGCAGATAACATTTGGTGCCATTTGTTCCGGACTCTGCGTTACTTATTCATTACAAAAATTCGCTTTGAACAACATTGATTCGTTTCTCTTGGGTCATGATGCAGTTTTAATCAAATTGTTATGGATGACGAGGTAAGATGAAGTCCAAATTATTTCAGCAGAAACCAGGAAGTCGTTGAAACAAGGTGGTTTTCGACTCATCAAACTTTTATCAAATCACAAGCTCGCCCTGCAAAAAGTTTCTTGCGAAGATCACGACGAGATATAAACCTTATCTCGAGTTCTTGAACAAAACTGGAAAGTTGGCAGTGATGAGTTTTTATTGAATGCATACACGAGTTTCATCCTCTGGCTGATTATTATACCCGACAAAAAATTGGTTTGATGTCGTCTTTTTTCAATATACTAGGAATTTTAGCAAAAGCTTTAACAACAGATTTGGAAGCTAGGTTTAAAATGGAATAATCAGATAGCATGGATTTAAAATTGAAAACTACACAAGTTCCTTAATATTTTTTTAAGATGGAAAAAATAACTTAGCCACGGACATTGTTTCGGAATCAACATAGTAATTACTGGAACTTGGAAATACGCGCAATTACAGACGCTTTACTGATTTTTTTAGCCGCGGTTAATTGAACAGTTATGCTATATGAGAATGCATAACTCAGACGAGACAATCATTCTAAGAAAATGACTTGAACTAGAAACACTTGGAGCACGCCTTTTGTCATTTGCGTTCAAATAACTTCATCTATCTCGACCGACCATCTTTTTTACCTGTCTGGACAGACATTCAGGTGGTACTCGATTGGATAAAGTCCATAAAACAGCAAGAGTCATTTGATGCAAACTAACTAAATAAAATCTCGACGATGGATCAACAATTATAATGGCATCACATTGCAACTACTCTGGATCCTGCAGATCATGGTACTCGCGGTTTCGAAACTAAGAAAATAAATGAGAAGTGGCTCACAGCTCCAGCATTCTTGAAACAAATTAGATAATTGTGTCGAGATAATAATTGGCTGGGAGCAACTCTGCTTGCTATGGCTTTTTGAAGAAAGACTAAGCATTAAAAAATGCTTCTAAGTGAGCCATTTTTTGACAATGAACGGTTTTCTACTTGAAACAAGCTGATTTTTACTCTAACTACAGTCAAAAGCTTCATTTCCAAAATAAGTTTTAAGATTCCCAAAAACAACGGATTAAAACCATCCTTCATTGATGGAAAATGCAATCAATATCCAAAAACGCGAATACTGAACAAGCCAACCTCAACGCAGTAAAAGTCTGTCAGGCTCAATTTTTCCTTTATACTTTCAAGAATTTGAAAAACACAAACCAAAATTGATTGTAAAGACAAATCGATTCAACTGAATTCTTACTTAGACCAAAAATATGTATTAAGAGCTCGAAGTCGTCTTAAGTTCACATTTTATGAAATAGGATGCAAGAATTCCGATAATATTGGTGGCGTAAATGCAATCAGAAAGTTGTATTTTAAACACGCACACCAAATTTGTACTCAACAAGCATCACAATTTGTCAAATTTTTCAAAAAACAACGCTACGCTATTGTTGGTGTACGATTAGCTCTATACAGTGTACGTTTCAAGTGTTTCATTTGCAGAAGGTTCGATGCAAAAAACATTCAGCTAAAACTGGCACCTTCAACATCTTCACAATTTCGACAGAAACATTGTTACTACACTTTCATCAGTACAGGAGTAGATTTTGGTCAAATTATTCTTCATTGAAAACGGAAAGAAGACAGACCAACAAACGTCTAACAACTAGAGCAGCTTATCTAGAGTCTTGCCCAGATTTCAACACTGATGCTTTTCTTAAGGCATTTGCCCGATTTTCAGCAAGAAGAAGTTCACCTAAAACAAAGTACAGTGACAATGAAATTAATTTTGTAGGGGCTAGTAACGAACTCAAGAGATGGCTCAAAGGACTCAATAACAACAAAATTAAAACCAAGCTAGCAGTCAAAAAACTGGAATGAAAACTCAATTATTTATATGGACCTCACTTTGGTGGGGCATGGGAGCGATTAATCCAGATCGCCACGCGCATTATCTAATTTATTCGTGGCTAAAAAAAATCACGCTGGACTTTTTAATAGCATTCTCAATTTAACAGAATTGATGTTAAGCTCAGACCTATGAACAAACGTTGCTGGTGTCACAGACAATGAAGAACTACTCACACCGACTTATTTTTAAATCTAACTTCTTTTTAGCAACCTACCAACGGAACCTTTGACCTCTACAGCAACAATTATTTAACTACATCTGGCGATTATAAAAGGAATTTTTATTGACCCTGTTGAAGCGAACAAAATGGAACCTCGCAGAACAACAGCTACAAAATAGAGATGTAGTCTGGATCTTAGAAGATCTGACGTCGCGATGAAAATGGCTTTTGGGACGCGTCACAGCAGAGCATCCTGGACAAGATGGGACTACTCATCTATTTTGACCGCCCGGCTAGCGCACTCGCACGCTTTTTATTTTCGATTCAAAAACTCTTTCGACCTGAGCTCAACTGGCGGACCGGGAGCAAGTTGCTAAACAACTTTCTCGCACTTTGACAAATTATGAAAAAAGTGATTTGTAACATACCAATGTGAAGTTCAAATTAAATAATCTTGAAACTTGTTTGATAAGAAAGGTTATCATTACAGTGTGTGTGTGTGTGTTTGAGTGTGTGCGTATTTGTGTTTGTATGTGATTTCAGCTTCACCCTGGACAACTCGTGGTGGTACAACACCATCATATACACTGGAGTGGCTCTTACCCTCCCCATCTTTGTCATCTCCTACTGCTACTACCATATATGGAGACTAGCCTCCAAAAGTCAGTTCACCATCTCTTTCAATTCATCATTAACCATTATTATGCATCCTGGTTATGGTAACTTTGTCTGGGGTTCAGTGATGATCTAAAACAATTTGTGGATCAATCCAGTGTTATTATGCTTCAGCAAAACTTTTCTAACCGCTGACAAAAGAGAGTTCGAAAACTGATTGGTTCTCTAGGTCTCGCCAGATTCTAAAACAGCCACAGACTATTATCATACTTATGTAAACTTAAAGATAATCCCAATTTGAAGACAGAGAATGGATCTTGTTAACTATTCCCCCCTCCACCTATGGTACCTTGTAACGAATCCCCCCCCCCCCCCCTATAAAGAAAGAATCGAAAAATAAAAATCTTAGGTTTGTAAAGCCTTTTTCAAAATTTTGAAATGAGTGCAATTATATGCAAGACTACGGCGAACGAGAAATGATAACGTCAAACGTTATTTTTTAAACTACAATTGAATTAAGTTAGTTTGTGTTAATTAAAAATACTCACCATAATTAACACTGAATTGGCCTGAATTGTCTACGCTTATTTTTGAATATTTTTTTCTTAGTACTACTTCATATATGGAAAATTTGGCTCTGCTCCATTAAAACCCCCGTGCCCCCCCCCCTCAACTTTTCAATTTCACTTTCGAAAATTTTTCTCTTATTGTCATAATGCTGTGAAATTTGTAAATGCTCGATTCTGATCGGCTGAAAATTTCTAACTTAGAACCAAGTTAACATCCTCCCCCTTTTAACTTGGTTAACTTGGTCCTTTTCTTCTTTTGAGGGAGTGGCGCGACTAGTGAGAAACGAAGGCGGGAACAGAGGCAGCTGCTGCTCTCTCTCCTCACCCTCCTGGCCGCATTCGTGGTCACGTGGTCCCCTCTAGCGGTGGTACTACTGCTGGCGGGCATCACCCCACAATATAACAACTTCATACCAGAAGGTACCCCGGGTCGAAGTCCCAGACTTATATGTCCAGACACTCCCAGCGACTCCCCGGATTTTAGGGACTTCCCAGAGTTTAGTGACTATTTTTTGTTATAAAAACTTCTGTTATAAACCCCAAAATCGACCATTTTGTTAGGTTGAAAAAACTCTGTTGCTCTTACACGCTGCCGTTTTTGTAGAAGATAAACAACAGCTAATTATTGCATCGAGAAAATTTATG